ACCCGTAGCCTCATGAATTACAGACACTTTGATTCTTCATTTCGTTCAAATGAAGATACGTAGGCACAAGAGCCCTAATCCTTGACGAGCACCCTAATAAAAAACCTCTCATTTAGCCCTTTCGGGGTTTCCGTTTTTTCCTCTTTCTAATCCTTTCACTTTGAAAAAAATAAATAAGATTAGCTAACATTTATCACAAATCATACTAAGAGGTTCCCGTTGAATGCAACGGATGTGAGGGGTGTTAATACCTTCCCCTTGCGTAACCGACTCTCGAACCTAGAATTTGGTTGCGATGACCATATTCTTATCTTTAAAGGTTTTCTCGATATTTTCCCATTTCTTCATTGGAATAAATAAAGTTCGATGACAACTCTGTTCGAACACTTTTTCTGTGTCCCATCAAGAAGGATCGTATTCTTTTTTACAAGGTACGACACATATAGCATTGAATAATAAGCATAATCTGGTTACAATTACTCTTACAATTTTTGGAAGGATGTCACGAATAGCCACCAATAGAATTTGTTCCATTAAGACATGACAATCATGAGATTTTAAGCCAATTAACTTAAGATTTTTCATTGATAAAGGTTTCTTGATGTTTGATGAGTAACCTTAGAGAACATTGATATCATGCAAACACCCGCAAATAAGTTCTTTTTCCTCTATCTTCTGGAGCCAACTACTGTCCTATAGTCATCTCCATCATATCTAGACGGAAATTCTTACTATATTTAGTCTTATCTAGAATGTTTAGAAGTATTCCTACAAAATTATCAAATACATTTTCTCCACATGCATCACATCAAGACAATGTCTTACGTCGAGGCTAAACCAATATAGAAGATCAAAGAACATAGATCTCCTTTTCCAAACATTTGTCTCAACGAGACCTTTTTTATTCTTTCCAAAGACAACAATAAGGTGTTCTTGTCGTTGATAACCTTCACCGCCCATTAAAGGTTTATGAGCAATTTCAAACTCACACTTTCCGTTAAAAGCCTTCCATAATCTATGATAAAAATGATTGGGTTTTAGAAATTTCTAATGCCCAAGGTAAAAGATATTTTTTCCAAACTCAAGTTAGTGAAAACATGTATTAGATTCACATATAGGACACATTTTATGTCCTTTGAAATTGTATCCAAATAAATTACCATATGTAGGAAGTTCGTTGATTGTACAAAATAACATTGCACACATCTTAAACTTTTCACCAGAATATGCATCATCAATGTCAACGTCTTTCTCCTACAAAAGTTTTAAATCTTCGATTAATGGACTTAAATGAACATCTAGGTCGTTTCTAGGTTGTTTTGGTCCAGAAATCACCATACATAACAACATATACTTGTGCTTCATGCACAACCAAAGAGATAAGTTGTAAATCGTGAGAAGAATAGGTCACGAAGAATGGTTAGTACTTAGATTACCAAAGGGGTTCATTCCATCAATGGCAAGCCTATGCCTAAGGCATCTTGGCTCAAGGCCAAAATCCAAAAACAACGAATCAACTTTTTTTCATTGTAAAGAATCAGCTAAGTGGAGAATGTTTCTATCACATTTTCTTTCATCTACATGTCATCTAATATTCTTTGCGTCAATCGCATTAGTAAAAAGTTTCAAGAACCTTGAAAATATTGGCAAGTACCATAACACTTTAGCAGGAGGACGCTTCTTGCTAACATTGTCATTGTCATCACCATTGTTGTCATTCACCTTGTAGTACGACTTACCATATTCCAGTAAGTGATCCAAATTTTCATACTCTTTCTTGTATATATGCAATCATTAGGGCATGCATGTATTTGATATACTCAAAACCTATTGGACACAATATCTTCTTGGCCTCATAATAATGATCCGACAAATTGTTATCTTCTGGTAACATTTGTTTTAACAAATCAAGAAATTTCGTGAAACTTTTATCCAATCACCCACTTTTTTCCATCAGATTAAACAATGTTAACAACACAGACAATAATATAAAACTTGTTCACCCCATATATAAAAGTGCATCCTTAACACTACATAAAGTATAAAAAATATGTGCTTTCAAAAAAGACGATTCTCCAATGTCACAGATTATATCTTCTAGTCAATCATCCATATCTTCATGAACTTCATACATATGTGACGTCACATTTCAATTTTTATCCATTTCTCCATGCCACATACATGTTGTATAATTTTGACATGTTGCATCACAACATAGGCAATGTAATATTTCTTCCTTTGACCGTTTTTCTAATACTTTCACAATTAACACAAGGACAATAAAAAAGACCATTATTTTCAGGAAGATTTTGTTCTGCAAATTCAAGGAATTCAAGAACTTATTTCTTATACACCAGACCTAATTTATCAACTTTTATCCAACTACAAACCATAACAAATTCTAAAATTTATATCAAAAGACTAATGTAAATGACACACTAATGTTACACACACAACATACTAATATAATTATATACATACTAATATACTTATCACAATATTATAATACCAAAACCTAAAGCAAAATCATAACCAACCTCTACAATTCATGACATCAATCAACAACCTAACAATTTTATTTGAAACACCAAAACCTAAAGCATATTCATAACCACGTGTCTTTCTTCATTTACAACAGAGTTATAACAACAAAACAAAAACAAAAACATTATCTTATAACAACAAAAACATTGTAGCGCGAGAACAAGACACATGACAACATCACATAGCCTTATAACAACAAAAATATCACAAAATATGAATAAAACTAAAACACAAATTAATTCAATTGCAACAAAACTAAAATCCACACCGCATAAAGGAACATCTCACAACAGCACGAGAGAGATCAAGAAATGAATGAAGATGGTGAATATTGTATGTATCGTACTTCGAAGAGGGGGAAGAGACCATGAAGTAATTTTTGTATCAAGAAATGAATAAAAGTGGTGAAGATTGGATGTTCTAATAAATGAATGAAGATGAAGATTTTGCTAGGGCATGTGTTATGAAGGAAATAAAGAACATGTTATGTTTTAAATTTGTAGGAAAAAATTTCACCACAGTTGCAAATAACAACCATAGTGAAATATGACACATGTAACCATGATTGATAAAAACAACCGTAGTTAAAAGTTTTCAATTTTTATTTAACAATATAAGTTAAGGGACACATGTTTTTTTATAGAAAAAATGGAAAAAATGTTGATGCATGGATTTGAAACATGTAACCATCAATCTATGACCACAATTGTTATAATGAACCGTGATGAAATGTCTTTTAATAAAATAAAAAAAATCAGGCGCATTAAAAGTTAGATATTACTATGGTTGACAAAATGGTCGTAGTAATATGGTGTTACAAAGGTATATTTTATAGTAGTGGTTTTACTGGAGCCCACAGTAGGCGTCACTGTACTGTTCAAAGAGTACATGTGTGCATGTTACCCCTGCAAGGGCAAGGGTACTCAAAGACCTAAGTATGTGTATAATAAATTATAGCAGGTAGGGCTTGCACACAGCAGCAAGAAGCTCTCTATGGCGGTGTTTGCGATGGTTTAGAGGACCTGCTCCTATGAGGTGAGTGACTATGTATATGTGTTGGGTGCTTAGGCATAAGCATATGAATTAGGATCTGTCATCTCTCCCAACAAGATAGAGAGGCTTTGGGCTTAGGATTTTCTTGGAAAAGATCTTTGACCACCTATTCAATGTCTAACCATTAAATCCCTATTTTCAAGGGACTGTAGGTCAGTTACTAACCCTGACTTCTCTCTATCCAAAAAATATCTTATCACATGTTTCCCAGGACTGGACAATAAGAAAGCCTTTGGGGCGAGACATTAACTCCCCGAGGGCATGATATGATCGTCTCCTTTTCTAAGAGAGATATATTGGCATCGCCCTAGCCATGTCCTTTACAAATATAACACTATAATTAGAAATGACAATATTAAAAAGAGTGTTGGGTAGCATCTAAAATAAAAAAGATGGTGGAAGATAGGTGGTTTGGACATGCAAATGTAAAACTTGTATTATGTGATAAGGAAAGTAGATTAGATAGAAATTAGTCAAATAATTAGAATTAGAAGAAAATTTAAAAAAACTATAAAAAAAAAATTATTAAAAAAATTTCAAAATTAACAATTATTATTAAAACATGAATTTTTAATAGATCATTATAGCAAAAATTGATCAATGTTCTGAATCCCGGTTAGCATAATAAAGCTTTGGTTATTGTTTCATAAGAAAAGTCAATTGTATACTTGTGCACCAACTTTTACAAAATAACTTAATTGGTCACCTTTAGTTGGGTCTACCTTCTAACCACATTTATCAATGCTATAAGAAGAAAAAAAGTTTGTTATCTTTATCACTTATAAATGATTCATTTACAACTGCTAGTGGACTAAATGATAAATAGACTATACCTTATGTTCTTCCCTTTCTTAAAATCTTGTCAATATGTAGTCTCTCTTAATCTCTGTGTGGCATTGATACTACTCTTTTTAAATTCTTCCTAGTCTCTAACAGCTGATACTTGGAGATCTGAGTTTCAGGATCAGATTCTTTAAATACCTTGAATCTTATCAGAGATGACACAAAAACTTATCAAGAAACAACCAATGAAAAGAATGAACTATTACATGAAATATGTCAAAAACAATCATGTGAAATCAAAATCCTCTAAATTCTACTAACCTTTACCTGTTCATACAAAAAAAATCTAAATTGCCCATTCCTTTTCAGAAGCCATATCATCCAGATTGCTAAAAGAATAATAATGCTACCAATTCAAACTATTCCTAAACCACAATAATTGATTAAAACAAGTTGTATTATTTGACTGCTGGTATTTTCCCTATACAATGTAACTCCAAAAACCAGCAGCATGTGTAACCCTACCAAAGAAAAGTCTAACCCTGTCCCTTATATCTACCCACCTAGCTGGAAAATCCTACTATCTCTTATGTTGATATCAGACAAACAAATCACAATGTCTACATTGAATTTGATCTCCGCAGACTTTGATTTTGTCTCTGTCTCCGCTCCATAATTGGACGGACCAACTCTTTCAGCTGCAGAAAAACAAATTAAACAATAATAAGATTGACAGCTAAAAGCCAGTGCACATGAACATTGGCATAAAATTGAGGTGAATAAGTGATGCAATACAGCACCACTGACCTTATAACTTTGACAGATTCAAATAGACCAGATTAAATGTTCAAGGATATGCAAATTAAGCAGTCAAAGGGAGTAGAAATTCTTACTTGCTTGAGCCTTTCCTTTTTCCTTTCTTCCTGCATTCATCACATGAGTATTACAAAAAAATTATAAGATTTTAGCAAGATCACTATCCAACTACCAAAAAAATACATAAACAGTGTAATCTATGAATCATATAATCTATGAATCATATACACTCCTGACACTCACACAGTCACTAACACAGAGATATCGATAATAATTCGAAAAAACTAATAAATTAAATAAGTTGAATGTAATCACATGTGTTAATGTCGGTCAGCTCTCCACTGGTATTTTTTTTTTTATATGTGTTGGTGCTACATAGAGAGAGTAATAAATGCAAAAATAATGGCAATATAACAGTACCTCTTCTTCTATCAACAGCTTATTTTCTGTCTCCAATTGCTTGACAACTCTCTCAAGCTCATTAGTATAAGCCTGTAGTAAATTACACCACCCCATTAAATTAAAACCCTAAAAATGAAGAAAAAACTTAACTTGAATGAAGTTTCTTCATAATAACAGCAAAACACAGAGACTCAAATTCAAAGATTCAAAGAAAAGAAAGTAACCTGTTTGCGTTCTCTAGACCTGGCAGCAGACTCACGATTCTTGATCATTCTTTTCTTTTTCTGAAGAGCAGCTTTATCAAGCTCAACTGTTGTTTCCTCTACAGTCTTTCGTTTTCCCACGGCAGCAACATCAAGAGAATGAGAAGGGTCTGAAGAAGAAGAATGTTGACTAAGATGAGGGAAAGAAACAGCACCAGCTTTCAACAAGAAATCTTCTAGAGTAACATCATCGCCGCCGGTACAGGCGGAGAAACCTTCATCGCCGGTACAGGCGGAGAAAGCTTCATCGGAAGAAGGGTGTGGGTGTTGTTGTTGTTGTTGTTGATATTGATATTGATATTGATGCTGATATGGATATGGATATAGATATTGATGCTGCTGATGATAAGGGGTTGTGCCGGGACCTGGGCCGGCGATTATATCCGACCAGACGTCATCGATTGTGTTGTTGAAGAAATGCTGTTGGTGTTGCTGCTGCTGTTCTGGATATTCGTGCGGTTCTTGTTTTTGTTGTTGGTGATTTTTGGCAGCTTCTATTGCGGCGGGGTAAATGTTCTTGAGAATTTCGTCCATGGTGGTGAGTTTTTTGGGAGGCGCGTGAGAAGAATCAGAGAGATGAAAAGAAGAGGAGGAGGAGGATGATATAGAAGAGGCGCGTGGCAGATCCGGGTTTGTTGAGACAGCAACAACCTTGGACGACGCCATGCGAGATTATAGGAAGTTTGTTAGAGAGTTTGTTTTGATTTTCGGTTCGGTTTTGTTTGGCTTCTAGACGAAGGATTCAGGAGGAGGTTACTATTTGGGAAGAAAAATTACGAATCTGAAATCAGAAGAATTATACATAACGATGAAACAATGGGTTTGGTTTTAGTTTTAAGTTTACAGATTCACGTGGTTATGGACGTTGCTTTATATAGCTACCTCTTCTTCTGTTCCATTTCCACCTCTTCCCATATTACTTTTTTTTATTCTTTAATTTATCTTTTTTATTTTGAATGTAAACATTAAATTGTGTATTATTGAATGAATTATGTCAAATAATTGCTGGGTGAGACATGTCTCATATATATTCTCAAACTTCATTTAAAATTATATCTTATATTTTTAATAATTCTCACAAGAAAAAACTTTAATTTTTATTTAATTAGTTTGTTTGATCTCCATCTCTATTTCAATAATATCAATTTTCTTTTTAGTTTGATAATGTTTCTTTTGAAAAGACCAAAATGAAAAATCTATTAACAATTAAAATAAGTCATTTCAACACAAGATGTGTTAAATAAAAAATTTGAAATTACAACAGAATCTTATAAAAAAGAAACAATATAAAGTAGTCTACAACAATATTGATAAAAAAAAAATAAAGGATTTAATCTTTAAACTAACATATTTCGACTTTAACCACCAATAAAAGTGAAGAGTTACCATTTTTTATAACTCTTGAAGTGCTCATCTTTATTATAAAAAGTACAAATATTCTACTCTTTCTAAATAATACAAATCACATAAATCCAAATGGTATTAAAAAACAACTGAACCTTCTTAAAATAATCACTCGGCCCATCAAGCTATAAGAGATGATCCAATAATATTTCTTAAAATGTCGTTTAGAAACCTAGTCAATTTGAATTAATAGGCCAGAGTTTAGCAAAACATCACATTTTACAAACAAATGATCTATGTCTTTATCCACGCCACAATTTGCCACACATTTTTTATCGTTCATAGTAAGAATCTGCCGTCTAGGCAAGTTGTCCTTCGTCGTAATACGATTAAAAAATAGTTGCCATATAAAAATAGAAGCCTTAAGCGACACCGTCTTCAACCACAAAATTTAGGAATTAGCCTGATTGTTGTTGTCGTCAACTTCAAGTAAAATTTTATAAGCATTATCGGTTGTGTAGCAAGAATAGGAATATAAATTCCAAACTCAATGATCTTCTACATCCACCTGCAAAATAAATGAGGTTAATCGCTTAATACACTCTCTCATTAACCCTTTCTCCCACATAAACAACCTCCTACTCTACTTCCACGCCTCACCATCCTCCCCCTACCCCAACTCGTTCATCTCTACGACTGATGCAATCTTATTCTTCACTAAATCTATCAGCCTATTAAATCTTACTTTCAAAATAATATCATCAGGTCAAAGGTCTTTCCAAAACAAAGAAAAAACCATAGCTTCTATCTTCCAATCAATGTTATCGATCAACCACCCTCCATCAACCAAATTGACGTCCTCCCTTATATTTTTCAAATTTCTCCACCAAACATATCCACCACCTCCCCTAAAAGATATATGCTCCCTTCCTCGCCATACCGATCACTCAATATCCTATACCAAAGAGTCTCAGTCTCGACTAAAATCCTCCAACACTATTTTTTAAGTAAGACTAAGTTAAACTCCTTCAACCTCCTTCAAGATAAGTTATGATATCCGAAGGCGTTGTGGAAAAAGAAAATAGATCAGAATAAACTTTAGTATGATAATATCGTTTTAAGAAAAAAAATTCTTGATTTTTTACGTATGATGTTGCTAATATAGCATATGAAGAATTTGATGGCGTTGATACAAAGACCAACGTGCCCGAGATTGGTGTAGCAGGTGTTCAAAACTTATGAGAAAAAATTTAACATTGAAGAAACATTTGAATATTATATGATCATATGTTTAAATGATGTATAGAGAAATTTTTAAAGTTAGAATTTGAGATAATTATTAAGATATTTATAATGACTAACATATTATTAAGATGTTTGTATAGACAAAAATATCGAGTTATAAGTCAAGAGTATTTATATAACATAGTAAAAAAAAAAAATATCTTTCAATTTAATAAAGATGAATTCTGTCTCAATCCTAAACACACATTATTAAATTTTCTTAAAAGATAAACCTTGTTAGTCTCGCACAGGATATCTGATTTTTTTTTAAACAAATAGGGTGATTATAATGATACAAATATAGTACATCATTTTCAGAGTTAGAATATGGAAATCATAAAACATTTCAATCTAGTAATATTGGTACGTGGGTAAATGATACAAATTAATTATATTTATTTTAAAAGTCATATAGTACCTCTGTTTTTGTGTTATACGTCGTTTTAAAAAAAATTCTTTTAATTTTATCTTTTTAATATTATTAATAAATTAAAAATGAATTTATAAAATTTTTTATAATTTTTTTCATATTATAACTATTACATTTTTTAATATGTGTGAAAAATAAAAAACAAAAGGAGTAAATGACAAACTGTGATTAATTTATTTTTATATAAAATTATTTATTTAGTCATGTTATTTTAAAAGTTTAATGATCAAATTTTTATTTTTCAGATATTTATGCATAACTAGAGATATTTTAGTTAAAAAACAATCCGTTCAATTATAAAAATTGAGAAATGATTCTTTTAAAGAAATTACTAAATTTCAGAACATAAAATTTTTTATCAAACAAAAAAGACAGAAATTATTTTCTGTTGAAGAAATAATTCATTTTAAAAAAGCTAAATTCAACATCGCACCAATATAAGCAACCTCTATTGTCGAATTCTATTCCGACAAAAAAAGAACAATCCACTGAGAGAGAGGGTATAATTTGGAGCTATTGTATTTTTGGAAAAAATAATAATGCAATTGTATATTTATTTTTTAAAAATATTAAAATTATGATATTTTTGATAATAAAACAAAAGTTGCAATTATTGTGAGCCTCGTGACGTTTTAATTGCCGACATATGTTTTGACTAAAACTGCCGACCTGTTAGAGTAGACTTAGACCAAAGATTTCATATTTTTAATCTGTGATGATGTCATATTTATTCTTAATTCTCTTAATTAATAATATTACATATTAATCTAATGAATATTAGAAGGCTTGGTCTTAGAAGCCCCATTGTAGAAGGGATACATTGACTCACAAATATTCAACTGTTCAAGATCTATGTTCGCATGTGAGAATTAACGCCATTAAATATATTTGTGATAAACTTAATTCGTAATATATATATATATATATATATATATATATATATATATATATATATATATATATATATATATATATATATATATATATATATATATATATATATATATATATATATATATATATATATATATATATATATATATATATATATATATATATATATATATTAGAAGGTTTGGTCTTAGAAGCCCCGTTGTGGAAGGGATACATTGACTCACAAATATTCAACTGTTCAAGATCTATGTTCGCATGTGAGAATTAACGGCATTAAATATATTTGTGATAAACTTAATTCGTAATATATATATATATATATATATATATATATATATATATATATATATATATATATATATATATATATATATATATATATATATATATATATATATATATATATATATATATATATATATATATATATATATATATATATATATATATATATATATATATATATATATATATATATATATATATATATATATATATATATATATATATATATATATATATATATATATATATATATATATATATTAGAAGGCTTGGTCTTAGAAGCCCTGTTGTGGAAGGGATACATTGACTCACAAATATTCAACTGTTCAAGATCTATGTTCGCATGTGAGAATTAACGCCATTAAATATATTTGTGATAAACTTAATTCGTAATATATATATATATATATATATATATATATATATATATATATATATATATATATATATATATATATATATATATATATATATATATATATATATATATATATATATATATATATATATATATATATATATATATATATATATATATATATATATATATATATATAACGAATTCAGTAACGGATTGAGCTCAAAAAATATATAAATTATATAGAAAATGATGATAATGTATATTTAAAAAGTTAGTAAATATCTTCGAACAAAATACCAATGTATATTAAAAAGGTAAAGACAATTTAATATTCAAGAATTATAATTATGCTCAACGTGTTTTTATATTTTGAAAGTGTTGTAAGACTTTTTTTTTTCATTTTTAAAACTATTAAATATATCACATTTTAGGTAGGTTATCAAGCTATCAGTCAAAAGTTCATATCTCATACGACTGTGCACTATTCTTCACAAAATTCATATTTTAGAAACTTCTTTCGACAGTTGTGGTAGCAGCTACGTACAAAGTAATGTCATCTTTAAAAGTAAATATACTAAAAGATAAGTAATGTGTTTTTTAGTCTTCACTGTCATTCTTGAAAGTCACTAATTCCTTATAAATTAAAAAATTTCTCACTAGAACAAACATCCTAATGGGTTAAAAAGCAAGTGTGAGTTAAGAATTTGAGAAATAAAGTTTGGGGAAGTCTCACATTGATTAGAACAGTGGAGACTTGCGCACTTATAAGTGAGAGAACTCACACACATATTACCTTAACGTTTTTTATGAGTATGTTATATGTCTATCACAAGGTGTGTTACTCATAAAAAAGATCCCAACAAAATATATTGCCTCTTGTTGACTGTAACATCCTATGCCCCATAACAATTTATCAAACAAAATCACCTTCTAAAAACATAGAAATATCAAACATGAGAGTATACATAAGCTCTCTTACGAAAAGATTAAACAAGACTCGCAAAATGTTCCCAATGTTATATATCAAAGCACCTAAACTAAACGCAAAAAGAAAAGAAGAAGAAACAG